AATATGGTTCATGGGGTCACGAAGAGTCGGACATGACTTAACGACTAAACAACAACAAAAGTATTCTGTGCTTAATTCTAAATTTCATACTGTACACTGCCAGGAGTTCATTGGGAGCATGGTGGACCCAGGCTATAACCTTTTTATTTGCATAAGTATTTAAAAGCAAGGCAGCCAAGATAGTACTATTTTAAAAATTCTCCATAATGTTAAAAAATAAAAGGCTATACCAGTCAGGGCAATAATGTCTTTTTAAATCAAAAAAATCCTTTTCTCTGCTTCCTTATTCAGTTTATCATCTATGTTCACAAATTCTACTTCATTTCTCCAGTATTTATGCAACTGAAATTCCTAATCTTGTATCTGGGTAACGACATACCACAAATATTCTCAATGTGTGGACAGTCCCATCTAAAATTCAGAATAACTCAAATCCCTCCTCCACAACAAAGACTAGTAGAATCTTTTGATTAAAGAACAGGGAAATGAGCCTTATCTCAAATCATCCTTATCTACATTCAAAATAATTTTGTCTTGACCAAATTAAATTACATTTTAAGAGAACTGATTCATCAGTTAAATTATCTGAGTATCTTCCGAGGTGTGTTTTAAATGGATTTCCTAATACACTGAGACTGCAAATACATCTAAAGCTTGACTAATAAAGAAAGCCAATTAAGAAGCAGATGCCAATTAAAGTAATTTTCATCCCAAATCTCAGCATAAACAATATGAACATATACATAAAAATAAAATTTTAATAAAGGCCAGCAAGTAGTAGCTCTCATGCCAGATTCCTATATTATTTTGTAGCTTCTAGTTTTCAAAAACATTTAAAGTTTTGAAGTTTGTATTAGTTTATCACTCTATTTCAAATTGCAAACTAAATATAACAGTGTTGCTATTGTGCACGTTTTATGCATTGTGAACATTGTATGCATCAAAACCATTTCTTAAAACCTGAAGGTTTAAAAGTGTGACTTTACCTTGAAAAATGAGGAACGCGTAGAACCCCAGCAATCTGATGAAAAGTTTTGGACAGATCATTGTTCACATTTAAAGCCTTCCTGTACACTGTCAAGCTTGGCAAATTGTTCTGCTGTTGGACAAGTTTTTAAGCTGGACTCCTCAGCGAAATCTGACAGTTTTGGTAGTCAGTTGAATCAAGGATTTAATTATTCCAATTTGTTTTCTGAAAAACAAATGAAATTAAATTTTTGAATAGATAATAAATTCCATCAACTAAAAAAATATCTAGAAAGAAAAAAAAGTTTCACATGGATAATGTATAAGGAGGTCTTAAAACAAGTATATAAATAAGACAAGCTAAAATAGTACCTGTATTTTAAGACTACTTATTTATTGACTGAATTTATACCAGCTGCAATTGCTAAAAATGAGTTTACATGCTACTATCCGTACAGTCGATGCACCTCAAACTGGTAAGTATTCCATGAAGAATTTTCAATGGCTCATAATCATTTTATTCTAAGATGCTAAAAAACTGTATTACTCAAACAGAATGAAGAATATTTCATTAGAGAGAACAAGTCTCCTTGCAAGAGTGTCTGAAAGAAAGCAGTTTTATGCTATCTTATGCTAGTCTATGATTAAAATAAAAATGTATTTATTAAAAATGGCATTTTAAAAACTCCTTGTTTAGGTCCACAAAAAGAAAGCAGTTAAATTGCTCCACCACTTCGAATCACCCTACTGAATTAAAGCAGGCAAACACGATCATATTAAAAAGTTGCAGCTGACCCACAGAAGTTTCTTCAGTGATTTTAACAGAGACAAGCTTGATCTACAAGGAATAAACAGCAATTTGAATACCTAAACAATTACTGTAATGCAGACGATACAGATTCTGTGTTCGGATGAACAGAACACTGATTTTGCCTTTTTTGGGCCTCTTGTCTGAGTCTGATCCCTGACCCCTGTCAGCCTGGCACTATTCTTGAAATAAAAATGTGTATTTGTTCAGGGATGTGCTGTAATTACTCTTGGTAGCTGCTTCTGCCATAAATAATTCAGTCTCTTTATTGGTAGGACCCAAGAACTTCTGAGTTTAATGACTGCTTCATAGCTATTTAACATGGAAGCAAATTACTGTGAGAGTTCAGAGGTGTCTGCACTTCTAATTTGCACATGCAAGGGGCACACAGCCCTCAACCTATGGCCTACTTTTCACACAACTGTGACTTCTAGTAATCAAGAAACAAAATATCTTCCTGACATAAGTAATAAGTCAATTTATCTGAGGACTACTTGGACCAACTTAGCTAAGGATGCCAAAACCCAGCCTATTCAGTACTGCGTTATGCACAAAAACTCAGTGCCAAACTTCAAGCAAAAAGCTTTAACAACTCTACAGTTAAGGTTAAGCCTATTCAGATCTGAACCCTGTTCCGTAGTCATTCTAACAATGCTTTTCCAAGGGGATTCACTGCAGGTAGAAATAGTAAACACAGATGTTTATTATATTTAGATTCATATTTGTACGTATATCTATTTGTAAGCTTTTATTTGTGTCTGTGCATTTAATTTCCTTTTCACTTTATATTTTTTGGGTTTGCCTTGAAGTTTTGTTTGTTCAATAGAAAAACAAAACACAAACTAAAAAAATACTTTAAGTTCCACCCCACCACTGAATATATTTGAAAAACAACAGGAAAATATATGCAGTAGCAAAGTATTTTCACTCCAATAGTGAGAGGTACAAGCCATTTTTGTACAAAAACTGTTACATCTGAAAAGCATGCGCGTGTGTGCACACACACACAC